ATTTCACATTGGCATTAAAAAATCTTAAAAAGTCTTAAATTTAACTTGCTCTGTAGGAACCCTGCATATTAAAAACCAGACATAAATACGAAATAGACCAAATGTGAGAAGAATTTCTTAGCTAGCTGGACCAAAAATACAGACGTTTATTCAGTTGTGCTTTTTGGCCTCGATTCAGGAAATACAGTCCCGTTTTAAACACCATCTTTGGAATCTGGCCCCGCCCACCTCGAAACGTTACACCGATTCTCGCACACACTTCCTGCCAACTGACGAGAGATTTTTATGTGTGGTTAGAGAAATTATTAACTAATGTTGTGTTAACTAATACTGTATTAACTAATGTATCAAACAATCAAGCGTGACATGACACTCAAACCAGGCTGTACCTCGACTAAATCCCAGTTTAATCATGAAAATAAATGATTAGGTAAAAAACAAGTAAAAATCAACATATTCTAGTTAACCTAGAAATTAAACAGTATGAGTGATGCATTAACATCGGTAGTAAATAAAATAAATTTCCTTCAGGTCGGTCGGTCGGGTTTTGTCAGCCTGGGACCCAAAAGGTATTTAATGCTCTCCAAACCAGCCTCCAGTCTTCACCAAAAACAAATAAAAATAATATATATTTAAACTTTATCAGAAACTCTTGGGATTATTTTTTTATATAATGGACGCGGCGACGGAAAAGAAAACAGAAAAGAAAAGGAGATAGGTGAAGAAAGAGATTTAAAATAGAGATAATAGAGAAAAGAAAGAAGCATAAACACAACACATTTAATGAACTTTGATATGTTTTTTTATTTTATCTTTGTTTCTGTTTGTTTTCCTCCACAGAGGATGAACAGGTGTCTGCAGTCTGAGGGACAACGATGGARGTCTTGTTTGCAGTAACTTGAAGCCCCGCCCCCAACCTTCAGGGCCCAGGAGACAGAGCGACAGACTCGTCATCAGTTACAAAACGTGCCTGCCTCCTCCGGTGGGTGGMTTCCTCTGCTCGTCTCCCTCCCCTGCCTTAAAGCATCACCGGTGGTCCGGTGACCCTGCGTACACAAAAATAAAGAAATAAATACTGTGAAGAAAAGATGGGGAGAAGGTCAAAGACGATGACAAAACGTCTGGCACTTTGGACACATTTTAGAAAAAAACAAATCCAGAAACTCAAACTGACTGGGGTCGGGGGGGTCGACTTGACGCCGTTAGAAATGTGACAAGCCCCCCCCCTTCTCCCTGCCTCCCCCCCACACCCTGTTGACGCAGCAGCGTCACGACGTGTCGAGCTCCACCTGCACTTTTCATTTTCTACTTTCCAAAACAAACAAATGGAAGTTCATGCAGACTGTTGTTGAAGACCTCAGCCTCCCACCGGGGGAGGGGGTGGACCAAGTCGACCCGTGGGRTTTCTGCCAGGACTGAAACGACCCGCCCGCCGTCGAGTGTTTGAACTCTGAATCCAGTATTATTTRATGTTCACATGTGAGAGCTCAGCAACGCATCGGTAGAAAACAAAAAGCTAGGAGGAGAACCAACACACACTTTATGTATCAGTGCAGAACACACACTTTTGTTTTTGTTTGTTTTCCTAATTAAAGCACTTTCAGCACAARGTTAGAGGTTACTGGATATTTTGGCTTGAATACCAGGGTAAAAATCAACCATATCTTTAAAGTCAAAGCTTTTCTGGTGATATCTCAGTCCTCCTATTATCTTGTTTCTTTATTTCAAACCAAGACAAGTACTGTTGTGACCTTTAGGTGAGATATAAATATATATATATATATGAAAGAAAAAAAGCACAATGAGTAAAACTAAATGTAAATTAACTGTTTCTCTCCTGAAATCCAGGTAGACTAAAGCCAGAAATGTCTGTGAGCCACGAGTGAAAACCTGCCTCTCATTCTTCTGTTGGTTAAAGGTCCTGTCACACTGTAACAACTTACATCAGGGCTCTTCAACTAAACTGACCCGGGGCCACAGTTACTGCAGGTCAACAGCTCAGGGGCCCAACATCCAGTCATTAAAGTCATTATGTAAATAAAGTATTACAAAGATCTGCTACCTTTAATCATAATCAAAACACACTGTAATAAAAGTAGTGATAATAAAACATTAAAAACAAAAAGAACACATTATGCATCCCATTTAACACAAATATTATTTTGACGTCTCTGAAACCAATTTTATTTTCACTTTCATAGTTTTATCTTCAACTGCTTATAGTTTTAACTCTCTTGGATGTTCATAGAAATGTTTTTTAACAAATTTTTAGCCAAGATTCGGACATTTCTGTAGACACAAGTCTAACTAAAGAAAACTCAAAAAACTCGGGCCGAACTTTGGCCACTTGCAAGCCGGATGTGGCCCGCGGGCCACCAGTTGAACAGCCCTGACTTACYCCAACTTGTGAAAATTTTAGACATTTACGTTGAAGAAGAACTGGAAGCCTCCTTTAGGCGTGTACATACTGTAACGATAAACTGTTCAAATTAGCTTTTATTTGAACTTCGACATAAAAACATTGGTAAGTTGTCTAAAAGCGTTACAGTGTGACAGCGCATTAAGATGGTGTCTCACTGGACTGGGGCTCAGAGTGAGAAAGTACCGGTAGGTCAATTTTCACCTGATTTGTGACCAAACAACCAGTGAAAATCTACAACCATAAAAACACTGAGAAGACATCCAAAGGAAATAAAAACATTGGTTTGTTGTTTGTGACGTGTTCAAACATTTCAGTCCCGCTTCAGTGAGATACCTTTAAAGATCCCAGAAGAGCTCATTTCACAACAAATCTACTTTCCCTGTTCGATCACTAATTCAGATTTGGCTTTTTTTTTTCTTTTCTTTTCTTTCTCTGAACGTACATCTTGTGAATGTCCAAGCGCCTTAAGATGTCACGGTTGTGTTCACGTCTTCACGCGGTCGATCGCCTCGTTTTCAGCGCAGAAATTAATCAAACCGTACTGGAATAAAATGCCTTATTTGAGAATTTTCCCATAAAAAAAAAAAAGAAAAGACAAGATGAGGTCCGGTGTTCTCTTCTGATTTGTTTGTGGCTCCAGAAAGCATCGTCAGAATCGCACCGTCAGCGGAACAGCAACGCTCCGGATGCTGGACGGATATCCCGCTATATCTCGCCTTGACGGAACATTTCCTTTTTTTATTTCTTTGACTCCGGTGGAGAAGTTGACATATGAAGTACCTTTTTTTTTAAGCTGCCAATCATGACATGAAACAAAAAAACTGAATTGTGAGAGAAAGTTGTTCTGTTGGACCACTGCTTCGCACTGATCACATTGATCAGTCGTGGGATCTACAAACCGGAGGAAACGGTGAACGGCTGCAGTGTTTTCCACTGTCGCTACACACTAACCTGGTTCTTTTTGTTTTTTTGTACATCTTTATTTTGTAACGGCTGCAGATAGATGGTTATTAAGTTGTTCGTGACGCCGTGGTGACACACATCGTTCACTTTCGTTCAGCTCTGAAGCATATGTGCATATTATCGGGTCGAGTCTTATTTCAAAAAAAAAAAAAAGTTGCACAACGATGTACAAGATAAGTGTAGTGGGTAGAACTGCTACTCTGTTTGGTGTGATGTCAGTGAGATCTGTACATTTAGCTGGTGACGACCTTTCAGTTTTTTTCTTTCCTTTTTTTTTTTGTACGGCTTTAACCTGTATGTCTTTTAAAAAGACAATTGGTGGAGTATGTATCAGTTGTTTTTTTGTATTTTTTAATACAATAATTGTAAATATTGGTTATATTTTTGTTCAAATGTAAAATGTTTATGCCTCATCATCCAGTTTATACGAAGCTGGGAATCAATAAATACTGCATAAAGACTGAGGTGTAAATTCTTTGATTCATCTCTTCTCCATTTTTCGTTCACAGATAGAGTTCATACGTTCCTGTCTGACTCCAGTGCGTCATTAAAGTCTCTTCCTGCTTTTCTTGTTTTGTCGTGGAAAGCCCACGTCTCATTTTTAATCTCATTCTTGGTTGGGCTGTCCCAAGAGCTGTTTTTTATATTTTTTATTCAGTGGGCTCCAACAAAAATGGGCAAAACAGAAAAATAATAAAGTTGATCCCAGACTGAAAACCTCCAGCTTTGTTTTGCAGATATTATCTTCCTTTGTTGTTTCTGCTGCAGGTAAAACTGCATCACCAGTTAAAGGAGACGTGATGCTTTTAAATCCTCCTTTTCTACATTTAAATCGTCCTTCGTTTGTGSTCTTTATAATGTGGAACTGCAACGCTTTGGTCTGAGTTCCTCTTTATTGTAACTCCACAAGCCCCGCCCCTTTTCTGAGCTGTGTCTCGGATCGACTCATTTTGATGCTGCCTCTTTAGATCCAAACGATTTGCATCACACACCTCCCCTGTCCTGCTTCCAGATCGGTCCACTCATCGAGAATAAAGAAAACATAAGTTGATAAATATGACCCAAACAGATGTAATTTAAAGAGTAACTTACCCCAAAATTAACTTTTTTTTAGCTGATAAACTGCCTAGAATGTGTCTAAAATGTTATATAG